GACATCTACGAATAGTTTCTCAGCTTTGGTCCGAGGCTAAGGAGAAAATGAAATGAAACCCTTTTGGCAAGTTGACTGTTTTCACGTGTTCATGGAGGCGACCTCGTCTCATGTGCCCACATCTGAGAACGCTGCCATTAAACATTGGGTTTGGAAGACTCAGTAGGCAGATGAGTATCAAATGTTTCTTCCAAGTGAACGGCCTGAGGTGTCGTCACAAGGATAGCAGAGCTGTTCTGTGCTGCCAGCTGTCTGGAGTATTTTTCCTTGTACCAAGGCCTGGGTCTCCCTTCATTTGCATTGACTTCACTGTGCTCTTGTTCCCTTTAGATTCAGTTCTAGAATATTGCTGCAGGCTTGTAAGTGGCAGTGCACCTCTCATCTGTGGGATCTGTTGCCTCCTTCGACTTCCCTGTGTCTTGCTTTCCTGACAACAGCTCCTGGTCTTCTGTTCACCAGTTTGAAATTCTAGGAGACAGAGCCCTCTGAGTGTGCGAATGAATGCTGTGATCTTGCTGTCATTCTGAGACTGTAAATATGTTTCTTTTATAATCATACTTTTCAAAAACTGTGGGTTATGTAGAGCCCTTCATGTCTACTGAGCACATTTTATGGTCTTATTGCTTTTATGGTTGCTGTTTGTGATATCTGCTTCCTGAAGATTATTTTCTGAATGCACTGTGCTGTGCCATGTTATGGCGGGCATGAAAGTCACTTGATAAAGGACAGATTAATCAAATCTTCTTACAGCCCTCACAACAGCAGTATAAAAGCCGAGGAAGTGTCATTCCTAGGATAGTTCTGTGAGCAGAGACCAGTTACCTGTGTCTTCCAGAGAGATGGCTCCCACTTCTCTCCATTTTATCCTAATGTGCAGTACTTTGATTGCATAATTGATTTTGAACGGGAGGGTATCCTGACAAAAAAGTTTTTTCAAATCAAGCGTAGTTTGAGCTGTGACCTGATTCTTGTGGTAACAAACATCATCATCATTATTATTATTGTTGTTCAGAAATGAATATGTGGTATATGGATTCTTAGATGTCATTCCTCTTGTTAAATGCTTGGCAGTAGCATGGCAGTGAACAGATCAGCTGCATCACTCTGCAAAGAGCTGGCGTGACTACTATGTACATAAAGTGGAAAATTCTCAGGAATGAAGCTGAGGGCCATTTTCAACTTCTGAGGTTCTGAGTGAAAGTGTTACAGTGCTTTAAGACACTGATGGTGAATATGTAACATCTCTCCACATAAAAGAGGTGGCAGATAATTTATTCGGCTTGACAGTTTTATTTTTCTTTAATTATTGAAATCTAGACATAAATTAAAAAATGGTGCCTTGTATCCTTGAATTATACCACAGACTTCACAAACAGGTGTCTTTGCTATTCACTGTGTATTACAGCAGTAAGCTCTGCATTATGTAGTGTGCGATAACTGACAACACAATGCGTTGACTTTTTAAACTTTATGCCCCACTCTTTTTCTGTTTTCCTTCCTTGCAGAGTGTCAAAACAAAATTGGTAATCTTGTGTTCTCATTTTTACAAGCTCAGTTTATTTAACTTAAAGCCCATTCTATTGAATAACTTGAGACTTTCCACTGTGAACCATGGAGATGTACAGTACTCTTCCCTGCGGCCTGACAAAATTCCCTTTTATGTTATGTCAGTGTGCTGGAAGCTGTGACATTCGAACAGCCCTGTCTGCCTGGAGTTAGCTTCGGCAGCTGCTCTTTGTGCTGCACTATATAAAGTGCTCTTTTTACTGTTGTTTTGGGTAGGGCGGCTCTCATTGCCAAAACAGTCATGAATGATACTGCATAACGTCGATGCTGGCTTTGGTGCAGCTACAATGAACCTTGGTGAAGGACTTCTGTGTGTACATCCCTCCAGTTTGTTTAATTAACAGTGGCCTTGGCTTGATTTGTACTTAAAATACTGCCTGCTGATTGGTGAAGTTCTCAATATATATATGGTATATGGTATATCCTGTGCCTGTATTCTGAAGATTTTTCAGTATATTGTTACAAAAAATTCCAGCTGCACAGCTTGCTTACACTTTAGGTGTAAGAAGTTGTAATTGGGAGTAATTTGAGTTAAGTTACCATGTAAATAGAGAATTTAAAATGCTGAAGTCATGAGGAGAGATATCCCTTCTGGCTCGTCTCTCTCAACACGTTATGTAAAGTGAAGCCATCCCTCTGGTTAATTTCCGATTCCAGTTTCTCAGAGCTGAGCAGGAAGTTTGGCTCCGAAATCAATGAATAATGATCGGGTCAACAGCGCTGTTCCCATGACAGCAGGGAGGTAAACACAAATTGGGAACTTCAAACTGAGAGGAAAAATGAGTGAAAATAAACACTGGTTGGTAAAAGTTAAACAAATACTCTGTGTATGATAATGGGAGCCAGGCATGCCAGTTATCTTCAGCAAAATTCAGAATCAGCCAAAAAG